ATGCGTACAGAAGAAATATCTTCAACCACTCCTCCTCCTTCACTAGCCAACCTCACGGCTAATTAACCAATGGTAATCTTACCTATTGAATGACCTAATTTGACTATTGTACTTACGACCTTTCATAGTCAATTGTAATTATCACTATTATCTTTATTCATAAATCTTTGTATTATTCATTTGCTTTTGTTTGGCTTGTATCTTCCCATTGAGGCTTAAGACTGCAATTGATCAGTCTGTTATTAGCATATGTGCATACTGTGCGTATGCCTCGATATTGCCTGAATTCACAAGCTATTTGTAAGCAATGATGGATAGTGGCTAGCAGTGGAATGCAGTTTGACGCGCGTTTCGTCCTATTTGGCACTGGTCAGTTGGATGTACCTGCATCTGAGAGAGTTGATGTTCACTGTGCGACTCGAACCCAGTACCATTCGCTTGAAACGCCATCGCGTGATCCACTCAGTTACTGAGTTCCGATAGTCACTTGCTTGTGCAATGGGGTGAATTTGAATTCACTTCGTATTGTTTTGCTTGTATCTCCCCATTGAGGTTTAACACTTCAATTGATCAGTCTGTTATTAGCATATGTGCATATTGTGCGTATGCCTCGATATTGCTTCACTCACAAGCTATTTGTAAGCAATGATGGATAGTGGTTAGCAGTGGAATCTAGGACAAAGCGCATTTCGTCCTATTTGAGACTATTTGTTATACATCATTATTAATTTTCCGTATACATGACTTATTCACTTCGTATTCATTTCTCTTTATTACGTCTTACTAATTTTCACACAATATAGTCTTTCATTAAACATTTGATGGAATTTGTAATTGTACTATTATTTCTCTCTCATCCTATCTGACCCATATTTATTCGGATCATGGATCATAACATTTTCACTTCACATATATACAGATTCAAGTTAACATTCTATATGAATTATATCAACATTAACCATTTTATTGTATCTTAAATTCACTTGGCATTGTTTAATTGAATCTTCTCATTGATCTCTTTAGGACCGCAATTGATCAGTCTCATGTGTGCATCCTGTGCGGATTGTTTCGATATAGCCTTAAGTCACAAGTATTATAAGCAAAGATGGATAATGACTAACAGTAGAATCCAGTTTAACGCGCGTTTCATCCTATTTGGGACTGGTCACCTGGATGTATCTACTTCTCAGAGTTGATGCTCACTCCACTATCTATCTTCGCTAAAAAAACTTATGACTTAAGGCTATATCGAGGTAATCCTCACATGATGCACATATTCCAACATCAAACTGATCAATAGCAGTCCTAAATAACAATGGGAAAATACAAGTAAAATAACACCAAGCGAATTTAAACTTCACCCCAATACACAAGCAAATAGATATCAGGATTCAGTAGCTAAGTGAATAATGTGATGGCGTTTGAAGCGAACGGTACTGGTTTCGAGTGACTCTCAGAGTGGATATCAACTCTGAGATGTGACAGGTATATCTAGCTGATGAGTCCTAAATAGGATGAAACACGTTTTATCCTGGATTCCACTGCTAGTCACTATCCATCTTTTATTGTATTTTGTTTAACAATCCTAAATTCACATACTTTAAACGATGTACTTTGTCATTAACCTGCTCATTTTTTGGATTATTGATTTGGATATATTGAATTGTAGAACCTGAAGAGAATTGATTATAAAGTATATTCTTCGTTCAAATATTAGTCTTTTAAAGTGAAAAGTACAAATTAATAGTGTGATGATAGGTGTACTAATTATGATAAGAATAATAAAGGCTTGAATCAATCACTTCAACCAATCAATCACTTTGAATGACTTATTTTTGTCTATTACATGATCGCTGTCGATCAAGTGTGCGTATTGTTTTGACAGTACTTTTCCTAACCACAAAGGGGGGGTTGTTCACTAATTCTTTGATTCAGTTGTTTGGTAGTGCGCCCAATATAGTTTTCTCAATAGGAACACTTGCATTCGTAGATACACATAGAATTGGCATAACCAGGTAACTTATCCTTTAGTTAAGGAATCACCATAAATTGGGTTGAATAGGATAGACAGAAGTTGGCTGCATTAAACGTTCTCTTCACTGCTCTAGTCAGTCTATCACGTAGTACATCACGAGTTACACCTCCATTCAATTGCAACTTGAGGAAGAGAGGTTTCCTGTTAACGTTGAGATCGCTATTTTCTTGTTTGTTACACGGCAAGTGTTTCTTCAGGTAACCTTGTGGATAACCCATCTCATAAACTGCCTTTATTGAACTGATGCGAATCTAATGGAAAACAATATTGTTCTCTTACATATATGCTGTTCTAAATAGATAAATAACATGACCATAATGCATAAACAATTTAAAAATATACAATTATTTCAATAGTTGAGATCATGAGTCAATTAAAGCTAGACAACTATGGAAAACCTGGAAGCACTGGACGACCGTTCCATCCTATTGTGGAACTCCTCAGCAGTGTACATTCACGACCTCGTCTCATAAGATTCGAACCCAAGACCTATCAGTCTCGCGCGCGAGCCTTTAACCACTAAACCAGAATTACTACAATCTCCACAAAACCCCTTCTGATACAAATACAATTATGTTCAAAACTTGTGATTAGAGTAGAAAAAATAAAACACAAAAGAATACGTTTAAATTACAATAGCTTTGGAATAGAAAAGGCTATGACAGTGAAACATACATCAAACGAAAGCTTATGATTTGTAGAATAGATTAGGGACAAACATAAATATTTGTCAGAATGGGTTTTGTGGAGATTTTAGAAATTTCACAGATTGAAATCATGAGTCAGTTGAAGCTAGACCACCATTGAAAACCTGGAAGCACTGGACGGCCGTTTCATCTTAGTATGGGACTCCTCAGCAGTGCGCATCCACGATCCCGCACCACGCGGGGCTCGAACCCAGGGTCTACTGGCTTCGCGCGCGAGCACTTAACCACTAGACCACTGAGCCGGCATCCAACGGTGTTAATGTCTAACTTCAACCAATCCACGAAGTTGCGCCACCGTACACCATTGTCTTCAGTGAGTTCCTATCTCACAACAGACCTGGTTGAACTCCACTGGTAACGGCTTCTCACTAGAACTTCGGGAGTTTTTCCTGAAGTCAGTCACTGGTGAGCGAAATTTCTAAAATCTCCACAAAACCCATTCTGATAATAGTCAACTGCTCACTAGTGCCCGTTAGTGATGTTAATCTAAACTCAACAATCTCCATAACCCTATACTGATAATTATCACGTGTTCTTTAGTGACTAGCTTCAAGATGGATTTCCTGAAGTTCTCGTCAGAAGCCGTGAATAGTGGAGTTGAACCAAGGTCTGTTGTAAGACAATTACTCAATGAAGACAATGGTGAACGGTCGCGCGATTGCGTGAATTTATTGAAGTTAGACATTAACACCGTTGGATTCCGGCTCAATGGTCTAGAAACTGAGCGTTCGCACGCGAGTCCGAAGGTCTTGGGTTTGAGTCCTCTATGCAAGATCGTAGATGAGCACCGCTGAGTTGTTCCATACTAGGATGAAACGGCCGTCCAGTGTTTATAGGTTTCCAGTGATGGTCTAACATTGATCTGTTCACGATATCAATCTAAACTCAGACTAAACTATGTCATTTTATTCTGTCAAGAATGAATTGGTATAACGTTGGTTAATACCATGTTATACACCCGTAGGATAGAAATGTCAACGAGAATTAGAATTATTGGTCAGTTGAGAAATAATATTTTCAGAAATGTGTTTTATGGAGATTGTAGTAATTTATTAATTGAATTCATGAATGGGTGTACACTACTGAGGAGTCCCAACGTAGGACGAAACAGTCGCCTAGTATTTCCAGGTTTTCCAAGGTGGTCTAGCTTTATGAATCCAACAAGTACCAATGTTTTATTAACTCAACAAGTTACTTTTTTATTGCCTATTGTGACTTTTTTTATTTCATTGAAAGCTAAACAGTGAATGATGGTTTCTGTGTAATAGTTACCAAGCTTTCAAAAAATTAATCACTATGCAGATACACCATCATCATAAATCTGCATATAAGATAGTGGTTGTCTCTTGGTTTCTAGTTCACAATTTGATTATCGTTTAAAATCCCCTCATTTACTGGTAGGATTCGATCTATAGACGTTTCATTTTAATCCCTATATCCAAGATGATTTTGTACTGATCGTGAAATTAATGAGTTACAAATCCATGGTACGAATTGTAGATATCAATGATCAATCGAAAATAGAATACCTGACAGTAGATGGTTGAGAAAATCGAAGAGAGGTGTTCGAAAACGCAGAATGATTAGAATGATAATGAAGAAATAACATAGTGTGAGACAATTGGTATAGTTTATGCTACTGATATGGACAGATATGAGTAGTGGGTATCATCAATCGAAAATGGAATACCTGACAGCAGAGGGTTGAGGAAATCGAAGAGAGGTGAACGAAAACAGAGAATGATTAGAAGGAACAATGAATTGTACGGTCGTTGATTGACATTTTCCAAATGAAATATTTCCAAATGATTCTGTATGAGAACACTAATATCATTTGAATAATCAATCACCTAAATGTTATATTACTTATTAACTAACAAGAAATAAGTAATATATCTTATCTTTGTTATAAATTCACATTTTTTTGTTTCAAAGGTTTCTTTCTATTCTTCCATATATATAATGATACCATTTTTATTTATGCCACATTTATTGAAGACATTAATCGATAATTGACCTTTATTCACCAAACAAACATGACTCATTATCGATCATAATTTTTTCTTCTTCAAAGGTCGTCAATACACAATTGTAGTTATAGTAACGGGCTGACCTTGACAAACGTATTAACCAATCAGAATGAAGTATTCTTGTTTTTTGTACATTGAGTCATTGATTAAAACAAATTATATATATATCAGGATATGTTATACAATATTTAAAATATGATATCTATTTGATCATTTACAAATTGTATAATGTCTATTACACATGAAAATTTAGATTATTCAGGAAATTTTAATGATTATAATAATGATAATGATCGAGATCATGTACATGATTATAATGATCATATAGAAAGTAATAATTTAATTAATGGATATACTACTGATGAAATTAATTATGAACAAATGAAAAAATGTTATAATTCAACTAATCAATTATATAATATGGAACCAGAATTAATTGGATTTGTACAAAAACATAATGTAGTTATGGATGATGGAGCAGTTATTAATAAAATGGCATTATTAAAACAAACTATATTAGATAGAAAAAATAAAAAGTAATTGATTTTTAATTATTGAAAAGTATTGATTGAATAATTTATTGATTATTATAATTGATTAGTGTTTTCATTTGGTATTGTTTAGCTTGTATCTTCCCATTGAGGTTTTTTAAGACTGCAATTGATCAATGTGTTATTGGCATCCTGTGCGGATTGCCTCGATATTGCCTTTATCTACAAGCTTTTTTGTAAGCAATGATGGATAGTGGCTAGCAGAGGAATCCAGGACAAAACGCGTTTCGTTTTATTTAGGACTCGTCAGCTGGATGTACCTGCATCTCCGAGTTGACGCCCCCTCTGGGACTCGAACCCAGTACCATTTGTTTCAAATACCATCTCATTATCCACTCAGCTACTGAATCCTGATAGCCACTTGCTTGTGTAATGGGGTGAAGTTTGAATTCACTTGGTATTGTTTAGCTTGTATTTTCCTATTGAGGTTTAAGATTGCGATTGGTCAGTCCAGCTGACGAGTCCAAAATATGACGAAACGCGCGTCAAACTGCATTCCACTGCTAGTCATTATCCATCACTGCTTATTGGTGTTATGTTTTTTGTTTATGCTTATAGACTGATATTTATGGATAACATGGGACAAATTCATGAATTTATTGATAAATGGACTGTCATGTTGAGACATGTAGATTATCTGGTTAGCTAACAGGAGATGATCACAATTAATGGTTGATTTAAAAAGCCCTATCCATTGGTCATGGTTCAAAATCGTTTGTAATGGCACAGGTGCATCCACTCTTTGTGTTCTACCAAATTCTAATCTTCTGAATTCTTGATGTGCCTTATTTTTTCTCTTCCCAAATTTATTTAAATGTATTATACTCATTGAATAACAACTTCAAATTCTAATCTTTCCGATTACTGCTTATACTCTTGCCATCTATACCACCATGGGATTTGAATCGACAATTGTATTTGTGTGCCAATGTTGTATAGCAAGTGGAACTGATGTACATACGTATGAAGTTCTACGTTGTTACCTACTGACTGATTGATATTTGTGAATCTGTAATGAATTGTCTCTAAAGGGACTAAATGATATTACTCACAGTTTATTTATTTAAACGCATAAATATTGGTACAAGGAGGCACCAAATAAATCGAATGATTTATGTGAGGGCCGGGATACTGCCCGCGTGCCCAAACGGAAGCAAGTGGTTTTCTTAGGGAGCCACACCCCAAGCCATTGACCTAAAGGCCTAATTCACACAGCACTGGTGCAACGTCAGGAGATGCAGTCCCATGGTAGGCGGTGACTAACAATTGGTTCATACGCTATTCGTTTCTTCAGGAAACTGGAGCCCATGTGCACCACTGGTTTGAAATGAGGGTTTTTCAACTCCCCTAGATGGATCCTCAGTATCCACAACATAGTTTTCTTAAAAATAAACTTATCTCAGTAATCTATTCAGTAAGTACATATGTCTTGTTTATGCCTATTAATATATATCATGAGTTAATATCACCAATTAGAGACATAGACTTATACAACCAGAGCAATGATTCATAAACCAATACAAGCAGCCTAGATTTCTTGCTGGATCTTTGAGATAGTAGCTTCTTTATCTAACCTAGCCGATTCGGTTCAGAACACTAATAATATCAACCTTCGCTATATGATTCATGTAGTTCAGAGATACTTGGTCTATTTGCAAGCAAATCAAACCGTATCATTCCATAAAATAGACAATAAGAACTATACAAATTCAAGCCAGAAGTGGCTGTGATTGTGAGAGACTGATAATAAATTGAGAACATTTTAAGAATAGTAAATCGTATAATAGTAGTTAGTACGTCAAAAGGAACGTTGTAAGAGGAATATGAATATTCATATAATATAGTTACTTAATTGTTACACAATAATACATATATAATAGCAGCTCCCCTGAAGCTAGTCTTTGTTGTCCAACCTGCGTTCAATATGTTTCACTGATTCCAAGTATCTCCAGGTTGTATCTTTTCATTTCTGCAGCAATTTGGATAACTCACTCGGTCTCCCACACTGTACGAACATTCCATGTACCTAAATAAATGATTGCTCTGGCATCATCCTCGTGACTTCCGAAGGAATTCAGACTTCATCATGAGGTGTTAAAACTCTTCTAAATGAAGATCTTCTAACTCCGAGGTTAGAGTTTCAATAGGTTGAATTATTTTTTATGATAAGAATTTCTTTAGTGAGTTAGTTTTCTACGTATATATAATAACAGTCTATAAATAGATCCTAGTGGTTACTATTCACTCATTTTTCGTCTGGATATGACATAAATAGGGACTGATTAGTTGTAATCCTTAATTTCAACTTATCGTGCATTCTTTAATAACTAAGCTGTTTCAATTGTTGAGATCATTGAGAGAACGAAAAGCGAATATCCGGTGCTTTAACCGGGTTGGTGGACATGGAGAGTCCGCATAGGGAAGTTGGAAAACCCTCATTTCAAACCAGTGGTGCACGTGAGCTGCATCCAGTGTCCTGAAGGAACAAATGGCATATGAACTAATCGTTGGTGACCGGTTATCATGGGACTGCATCTCCTTACGTTTCTCCACTGCCTTCTGGATCAAACTTTTAGGTCGAAGGCTCGGGGTGTTGACCCCTAAGAAAACAACCTACTTCTGTTTGAACACCTGGACAGTATCACATCCCTCACATATATCAAATGAGATTTGCATGGTGCCTCCTTGCACCAATATCTATATGTTAAAATAAATAATGAATAAATGTTTAAGGAATGATGATCGTCAACTTGTACTCTTCTACGAAAGGTAATAGGAGTTGAAGTGAACAAGAACACGGGTAGGGACAATCGAATGATCTTTACACAACAATTACAGACTATCTCAATAAAATCTGAATACCATATAGTAAATCGTCAATTTGCAAAATATTCATGCATCAAATCAAACTGAACTGTTTCTGTTACAAACACCAATCCATTGTCTCCCATTCCATTGTTCATGCATTTTCTTATAAATTCCATTTGTGTTTTTTCTCTTCTTTTCTTGATCTTCTCCTCATCTTCTGCTGCCAGACATAACGTTTTAACTCGCGTCATATACTACTCATATCAATATAAGTAGTTCACACCACAGAGTCAATGAAATAACTATAGCACAATCATATAGTCTTTTATACTTATAAAATCTTGTTTAATCAATATAACAATTACATTCTGTGTATATTTATATTTATCATTTACTTCTAGGAAATTTCAACCACCTAAATGTTTAAGTATGAAAATGTTTATTATTTTAATCATTTTAACAATTGTATTAATACCATTAATTATAATTGGAATAATTATTGGTATTATTTATATATATAAAACAAATATACCAAATTTACCATATGCATTACCATGGTGGCGTCGTTCATTAATATATCAAATGAATATTGAAACATGGGCAAATGATGTACAAGGACCTATTGGTCGATTACAAGATATAATACCACGTATAGATTATTTAGTGAATCAAGTAAGTTATGAAAAATTTTTAAAAAAATAATTTTAATCGTTGAAATCATATATGTTAATAAAAGTTAGATCATCAATGGAAAATTTAGAAGCACTAGATGATTGTTTCGTTTTAGTTTGAGACTCCACGACTGTAGCTGCTACCTTGACGCGGTGGTCGAGCTTGCCCATCGTGATGACCCAACCGAGCTATATTGGCTGAATCATATGTTCCTGTAGGTTCTACGATACCAGGCAGGTCGATTGGAGAATGATAAGACTAAAAGCAGCAACTCAAGGTCTGAGGGCGAAGTCGTATTACTGACTGTAGAGGGTTGTGACAGCAGTAACGTGTTTCCCTCGGACAACCAGAATCTGCAGCGATGCTACCTTCACATAAGTAAGGAGGGGGTTAGAAAAGATTGACCCTAAAAATATCACACCTCACCTTACCTCACGGATTTCCGTCTCCGGCGGTAAGGCCCTTCGAAGAACGGAGCTAATACATTAAGAACCTCACACGAAAAGGCCATGCGCGATCGACCTCCAGCAGTTGTCATCTGGGCTCTGCGGTCACGCTCCCAGGTCGTTAAGGCCAACATTAATCTAAATTCCTTTTCAGGTTGCGCAAGAAATACCCTTCCATGGTGTGGGCAGCCGGGAAGTGACATCAGCCCTCATACGCGTAACAGCACACGAGACCAAGTTGGTCACATCCAAATCCTTCCTGAGTATGAAACTCCTCAGCAGTGCGTATCCATGATGTATCCCTCCACTCCTGCGAGATTTGAACTTAGGAGCTCTCAGTTGTATATATGTGTGTGTTTTGTTTTCTTTTTTGTTGTTAGATCTATTGAAGCATTCAATTCACCTTGTTAAGATGTATCTGTTGTAATTCTAATAAACGTTTACGAAGTTCAAACTGCCCAATCTCTGATTCAATGATTTCTATTTCTATCTCTTTAAGAATTGATTCTTTTTTTCTTTTACTCTATGTTTGATACTTACATAGGGTTAAACTAGATAACAAATATCTTTAGAGTTTAGTTTCATATTATCAGTATGTGTTCACTTTAGACTGAAGGAACAATAATTTCAACGATCGAATCATATATTTCTTCTAAATTGCTTGAATTGTACTTCTCTTTCCTGATCTTTGTCATCGTTAGATCAAATGAACAGAACACAATTTAGACCAGATATAATTACTGTGAGCATTCAACTCAATATGAATCAAAGTTAGGAACTGTTAAGTCTATCAAATCGTCTAAATCTCCCATTGGAGATATGCTCAAAATCGAAGTTCTCAAAACAATGATTTGTTTAAAATAGCAGTTCTTTATTGAATAATATACAGAATCTTTTGATTGAGATCATAAACCGATTGATGTTAGACCACCATTGAAAACATGGGAGCACTGGATGGTCGTTTCCTCTTATTGTGGGACTCCTCAGCAGTGCGCATCCACGATCCCGCCCGAGGGATTCGAACCAAGGGCCTTCAGTCTCGCGCGTGAACGCATAACCTACTGGACCACTGAGCCGGCATCCAGTGGTGTTAATGTCTAACCTCAACCAATCCATGAAGTTGCGCAACCATCTTCCATTGTACTGAGGTAGATACCTGTTTCTACCCGACACGGATTAGCTCCACTGGTCACGGCTTCTCACCAGAACAAAATTTAATTATAAACCTCAACTTGTGAGGTATATTTGGCGTTTAAAGCGTTCTTTTGTATGAAATAAATAAAAGGCTTCCTTTAACAGTAACATGAAGAATAATTACAACATATAATAGTTATGTCTAAAATTGCTAACAGTTTACCAACAAGCAAAAATTGAACCAAGAGCAAACAATATGGAAGCCTTTACGTTTAAACAAAGGTTAAACACATGCAAAAAATTGTGGATGACTGCTACAGTGATGGAGATAAAGTAATTATAATGATAAAGACAATAAATGTGATAAGTATATGTAAACTTGCGTTACAACATACGAGTACAATGTCTAGGAGCAAAACTACTTACTGAATATTATTAAGTAGTATAAAATAATATGCAAAAGGACCGAGATGGAGTGAATAAGGATAGAAAATGTAAAACAGACTTAACAGTTATTAAGAATGTGTAATCTTAAATTTAATAGTCAAAATATTCTCCTTGTATTGATCTATTTGAGCTTTGCAAATAACTTCCTTTGACCTAAATCTTATTTCAATAGTACAGACAGTTAACTTTTCTCTCAATCTAACTAGTAAATCAATGATTAAAAACACCAAAAAACCAAACAACATTCATCTTAAATTCACATGGTGTTGTTTGCTTGTATCTTGAATATCAATTCTAGGATACAGGTAAATCCAGCTAATAAGTCCTAAATAGGACGAAACGCACTTCGTCCTGTATTCCTCTGCTAGTCACTATTCATCTTTACTTATAAGTATTCATCCTAGTCTTGAATTATCTTTTCAGTTTTCAAGTTTTTCTAATTGAAATCCTGTATTTGAACTAAAACAACGGTATTCTTTAAAATGTTATCTGTAAGTATAGTAGTATATTTTTCCTAAACGGTATTTTTTATGTCTTATCAAAAACGACAATATAGCAGTTCGTGTATTTGTTCGATCCATAGTTTATTTCAGTTGTTACATAAACCTTGTGTAGGCTCTTTACTCGAACACTGCCAAGCAAGTCAGAGATCATGGTGAACTGTCATCCGAAAAGCCTTCTACTATCTCCATTCTTGTTTAATTTAATCATAGACCTACTATTGGAAATAACGTTCTCATCGGCTGAATTTTCAGAAATTGATCTCCTACTAGATAGGCCACTTATTAACTTAGAATACGCAGATGGTACAGTCCTGTTTGGGGTAAATCATTTAGTAGCACTGAACAACAATGACAGAATGTTAGATATACATTTCTCCCTCCTCTAAATGGAAGCTGTTGTAGTGACTACTTCTATGAATTTGGTGTTCCTCTTGTTGTGTTAATGAGGTATGACAACTTGAACTGATGCATATATATATGGTTGGTCCTATGCAACAATTGACTGACTGATTGACTTATTTCATTTGTTTAATTAAATTTATAGAAATTTTGGATTTTTGTTTCTCTTAACTAAAAGATCATATAATACCCTACATAACTATGATTAGTATATCTTAAGTTTATTGAAAATATGTATTTGAGCCTGTCCTTAAAGGTTATAATGAAATTTATATGCTAATAGTTAAGTAATTGTAAGATGAAGATTTTTGAGTTCATCCATGAAAATTTGAGCCTCAATTTGATCTATATATGAATTGATTATAAACTAGATTTATTTAATAAACTACCAAATGATACATCATTAATGATAAGCGAAAATTGTATTCAGACGATTAAACATATTACTAATCAGAATGGGGTTTTTTCTTAAGTTTGTTGTAATTTAATAGTTGAATTCATGAGTTGATTAAAGCTAAACCATTATGGAAAACCTGGAAGCACTGGATGTCCGTTTCGTCCTGGTATGGAGCTCTTCAGCAGTGCGCATTTATGATAACAATGAACTGAATAACATAAACATAATTAACCATAGTATAAATTTATTGTATGATGACAGATGTATTAGCGTAGTGAACGAGAACACACTAGCTGGAACAACCAAATCTATTTGAACATAAAATTACAGAATATCTTGGTAAAATCTGAGACCTATACAGTTCATCTATAAAATGTAAATCAATTGTCTCAGACTTCATTGTTCCTTCATTTTCACATCAATCACTCTTTGTTTGCATCCTCTTTTCTTCGATCTTTTCAACTTTCTGCTACCAAACACTTCACTTTCGATTTGTGATACATACTACTTATATCTGTCGATATCAGTAACACACAACACACTAGTTGTGATAATAATAATAATAATAATAATAATAATAATAATAATAATAATAAAGGTTTGAACCAATGGTTTTGTAATTAGAAGTATGTGTTGAGAAAATGAGCACTGATATAATATGCATTAGAACTCATTAAAATTACTCCGAATGCCCTGGTACGGGCGAGAGTGAGACGAGTCCGCTCTCCCTCTCCAATTGCTCTCACATGACCGCGCGTATATAGCCTCTGCCAGGGAAGTTCTACTCATTGTCTCCCCGTAGCGAGGGTGTTCTTTACGAAATTGAGAGGAGGAAAAGCGAACGTCCGGTGCTTTGACCGGGTTGGTGGACATGGAGAGTCCGCATAGGGAAGTTGGAAAACCCTCATTCCAAACCATTGGTGCACATGGGCTGGCTCCAGTGTCCTGAAGGAACAAATGGCGCATGAACCAATCGTTGGTGACCGGCTATCATGGGACTGCATCTCCTTATGATGCACCACTGCCTTATGGATCAGACCTTTAGGTCAAAGGCTCGGAGTGTTGCTCCATAAGAAAACCACCTACTTCGGTCCGGGCACCCGGACAGCACTACAGCCCTCGCACATATCAAATGAGATCATTGTGACGCATATGTATTTGGTGCCTCCTTGTACCAATATCTATGTGTCAAAATAAAATATGTAAAATAATAAATCATTAAGGCATATGTTTAAAAAAAACATAGTTAAGAAAAATAAAAAAATAAAACGGTATAGAAAACGATAACATCATAGGCTTATTCAGACAAGGAAAGGATAAATAAAAAAACTTGGGTTGTTAAGTCGAAACATTATAGTTTCTACAATGTGTAAAAGATGAAACTGAACCCCATTAAATAAAGGTAGTATGTATAAGATAAACTATTATAAATAATTTATTTCTATCTACTATCTGACCATTATCCATTTTCATACCTAGTTATATTTCTAAGCAAAGATGGATAGTGGCTAGCATTGGAATCTAACACTCGCGTTTCATGTTATATGGGACTCGTCAGCTGAATGTACTTGCATCTCCGAGTTGATATTCACTCTGAGACTCGATCTCAATACCGTTCGATTCAAACACTATCGTCTTATCTAATTAGATACTGAATACTAATAACCATCAGATGAATGCTCTAAGTTCGAGTTCTAGAGTGAATATAAACTCTGAGATGCAGGTACATTCAGCTAACGGATCTCTAGATTCCACTACTAACCACCATCCATTTTTGCTTATAAATTAAGGCAATATCGAGGCAATCCTCAAAGGATGAACATATACTAATAAGAGACTGATCAATTAAAGTCCTAAACATCAATGGGAAAATTCAAATGAACCATATCAAGTGAATCTAGTTATATTTACCTATAATAATTAAACATTTTTTAAGTACATGTTGATCGTACATTGAATGAACTCAAATTATACCTGTATCCTAGATACTTATGATGAATATTTCACATAGTAACTATTTATTATTTGAAAATAATACAAATAATTTCTATTAACTTATATTATTTATTTTTTAATAAAAAAAATGAATGATCTATATCCTTCCTTCCCTCCCCCTCCCTCTCCTCCCTTCCTCTCTCCTCTTCCCTCTCCCCCTTCCCCTCCAACTTTGATTTAGGTTGGTGTTACAAGTATATTACTTACAAATTTATTAAATTCTGATAATAATGGTATTATTGATTGGGAAATAATTAATCAATCCATTGATCCAACTGAAGAAGGATTTAATCATTTTTTACCACAATTAATAAAAAAATCAAAACAACAAAAAATGAAAATTTTAATTGGTTTACCAATTTATACAACAAGTAATAAACATGAATGGTATCGTTTAAGTCAATCAAATAGTAATAATGTTTATAGTACATTTTATATATGGACTATTAATGAAGTGAGTATAATGTAGTATTTTCTTTTTTTATTAATTAAAATTATGAGTGAATTGAAATTAGATCATCATGAACAATTTGAAAGTAGTAGATGATCATTTTGTTCTATTATGGAACACTTTCTCAACAGTATGCATCTATGATTCTGCCTCATGAGATTTGAAGACAGGACCTATTGGTCTTGTGTGCGAATGCTTAATCTCTAAACTAATGTTTAATTTCAACGAATCCATGAAATTGTGCTACCGTTCATAATTGTCTTCAGTGAGTTACTATTTTGAAACAGATTTGGTTGAACTCCGCTAGTTAGTGCTTCTCACTAGAACTTCAAGAAATACGTCTTGAAGCTAGTCACTAGTGAGAGTATGTTGATTAATATCAGAAGGGGTTTTTGTGGATATTATAGTAAGTTTAATAATTGAGATCATGAGTCAATTAAAGCTAGACCACCATGAAAAACCTGTAAGTAGTAGACGGTCGTTTTGTCTTATTGTGGGACTCCTCAGCAATGCGCACCCACGATTATTATTTGTCTATTTTTCGATTAGTTAAAAGTAGAAACTGGAAACCTAAAAAGGTTTAGTCTTAGCCATGATCTGTAAATAATTTAAGTCATATCTCAATTGTTTTGTTTTGATTCAGTAACAAGATTAGTTAGAGAGTATGTTAATGAACCTTCATAAAATAGAGTGGAATGGTAGATGTCAACTTATTCATTTAGTGTTTTCTTGATTGATATAGATTGAATAATTCTGGTTCCAGAGTTGCACATCTTTTAATACTTACTTGCTTACTTACTTATGCCTACTACCCTCAGTGGAGCATAGGCCGCCGACCAGCATCTTCCAACCCATTCTGTCCTGGGCCTTTCGTCTTAGTTCTATCTTATTGTTGTTCATTCTTCTCATGTCTGTATCCGTTTCTCGACATAATGTATGGTTTGGTCCTCCTCTTTTCCTTTGGTCTTAAGGATTGCATGTCAGTGCTTGTCTTGGGCTTTCCTCAATGTGTGTCCTATCCACTTCCAGCGCTTCTTCCTGATTTCTTCCCCGCTGGGATCTCGTTTGTTCTCTCCCATAGTACGTTGTTGCTAATAGTGTCCGGCCAACGGATCTGAAGTATTTGCGTAGACAACTGTTAATAAACACCTGTATTTTCAGGATGATGGCTTTCGTAGTTCTCCTGGTTTCTGCCCCATACGGTAGAACTATCTTGACAATTGTATTGAAAATTCTAACGTTGGTGTTGGTTGAAAGTTGTTTTGAGTTCCAGGTTTCCTTCGATTATAGATGTGACATTTTCGCTTTGCCGAACCGCACCTTCACATCTGCATCAGATTCAAATATGCTGCCCAGATATGTAAAGGATTTCACATCTTCCAAAGTTTATCTGTTAAGTGTGATTTGATTGTTGCATGTTGTGTTGTATCAGAGAATCTTGCTTTTCCCTTTGTGTATGTTTAGACCTACTACTGTTGAGGCTGCTGCTACCCTGGTCGTCTTCTCCTGCATCTGTTGTTGCGTGTGCGATAGAAGAGCCAGATCATCTGCGAAGTCTAGGTCGTTCAGCTACATTCCAGATGTCCATTGTATCCCATGCTTCCTCTCAGATGTTGACGTCTTCATGATCCAGTCGACCATCAGGAGAAAGAGAAAGGATGAGAGTAAGCAGCCTCGCCAGACACCAGTCTTTACCTCGAACGAGTCTGTAAACTGTTCTCCATGCACGATTTTGCAGTTTAATGATGATATTGACTATCTTCTGAGGCACACCGTAGTGTTGAAGAAGCGTCCATAATGTTGTTCTGTCCACGTTGTCAAATGCTTTTTCGTAGTCAATGAAGTTGATGTAGAGTGATGAATTCCATTCAATTGATTGTTCCACAATGATCCGTAGAGTTGCGATTTGGTCTGTACAGGATCTATCCTTACGGAATCCAGCTTGTTGGTCTCGAAGTTGGGCGTCTACGGAGTCCTTCATTCTGTTTGACACCACCCTGCTGAATACTTTTCCTGATATTGAGAGAAGAGTGATGCCTCTGTAGTTCTCATACACTAACCAGAAAAAACCTCTCAATAGCTTGTTGATAAATTCAACATCAAGTGGAAGTATCAGTTAACAAGTAATTAAACCCAAGTTCTAAACTAAGTGTTTATCATTTTAGATTTTTCCCTACCAGAATAAAAGATCAATCGGTTATATTAATCTCTTATAGTAGGTTTTTATGTTCCCAACTATCATTATTTCTTTAGAAAATATGATACAAGATTAGATTAATCAATGGAGCAAATCTAAACTTTAATGGAGAAGTGTTTATTCTTAGTTTTCCAAACTTATTTCTATCTTTTTTCTTTGATTTCTTCCTGATATGACGGGATCTCGTCCAGCATCAGTGCTTGGAGTCATTAACATCTGGTCTGAGCCATGTTGGTAGATACAGACTACTTGTTTGCGGTCCACTGGAGACTGTGTGTGACATGGCTTAGAATCGATCACAATTGCGTAGGTGTATACACTCTCTGTCTTCTCATAAACTATGAGATTAAAATCGCTTGTTATCTTTCTTTCTATGAATTAATTCTTTCGACCTGTACTATGCAATCTTTCCTTTATATATTACCACCATTGAATTAACTACTTCTATGAATTCGGTGTTCATCTTGCTGCGCTAATGAAGTATGGGAATTAGGACCGATGTGTATATGTGTTTGGTCCTACGTTGAAGCTGACTGAATGTCTAAATGGCTGATGATTACTTAGTTTAATATTTGTCTATTATTTCATAAACTGTTCATTGTAAGGTATTCAATAAGATCATTGAACTCTGTTATTGTTTTCAGTTTACTAATAGATATGATTAATATGTAATGCTTATTGTTTTCAGCCTTTAACTGATCAACAAAAACGACATTATGCCTATGATTCTATTCGTCGTGCATACTATCGACATGTACATGGTAATCCAAATAGTCCATTATTAAATTTAAGTAATCCTAATGTAAGTTATAGTACTTTCTATTTTTACAACTTTTTATTTTATTTCAATGGTTGAGATCATGAGTCAATTGAAGCTAGACCACTGTGGAAAACCTGAAAGCACTGGATGTCCTATCGTGGGACTCCTCGGCAGTGCGCACCCATGGTTCTGCTCTGCAGGATCCGAACCCAGGATCTATCGGTCTCGCGCGCGAGCGCTTAACAACTAGACCACTGAGCCGGCACCCAACGTTATTAGGGCGTAACTTCATCCAATCCACGAATTTGAATGACACATCTACCATTGTCATCAGTGAGTTACTATCTCACAACATATTACTGATTTAACAGTATTTGACATTCTCTCATATTTAGCAACAATCATAAAAGTTTATTCATACATAAATGATAATCATTCAAGTTGAAAAGAAATTTTTTCTTTTCAACAATTCTACCAACAAGGAGTATCATTCAGTCACAATCAATGTAGAACTTGATACAAATGTGTATGTAAAAAGGAATTCTGAAATTTACGATATAGAGAGGTATCTGCTCCATAGTAACTAATCATCAGTAATGTCACTCAACTACTCCAAACATTGATCTGATCAGGCAATTTACATCAATCATTACGACTAAGTCCAACAATTGTTAACTTTATGAATTGTGATAAGTTTTTGGTTTGGTCGTCTTTAAATTACTTTTAAACTACTAGAACGTTGAGATAGACGATATTTAAACCATTTATTAATTGGATCAGTTGATGAAGATTCTTATTCTCATTGATCAGAATAACTATACATGTGACGTGAATGTGTATATGAATGCTGCGAATGGTCCACCAGGGTGCTTGATACCTGTGTGGTTGTGCCACAGGATTGGGCTGTACTATCCAGATCGTAGCGTTAAAGCTTATACGGTGTCTGGTTTTCCTGTGAAACGGAATTGAACTGTACTGCTCGGGTTGTCACGTGAAAGTCTGAATGCTTTCTGGTTCTCCTGAAAACCAATGTAAAATTACCCTGGCCCACAAAGGTATATCATATAAAAATATTTTCTGTGATCAGCTAGAATAATATTTGTGTTTCAAGGAAGCATAGTTTTTATCACCCATATAAATTTATTCACAAGAACAAATAAACTGATAAACACTGAGTGAGTTGCTTCAAAGAGGTTATTTCTTCTTACTACATTCACGAAACAAGTACCAACTAGAGAAAACAATCTACATTTCATCACAATTAGCTCTTACAAAGGTACAGATAATCAAATGCACTTGATATTGTTTGCTTGTACCTTCCCATTACTGTTTAGGATCGCGATTGATCAGTTTCTTGTTAGCATATGTGCATCCTCTGCGGATTGCCTCGATATTACCTTAAGTCGCAAACATTATAAAGAAAGGTGGTTGGTGGCTATTAGTGGAATCAAGGACAAAGCGCGTTTCGTCCTATTTGGGACTCGTCAGCCGGATGTGCTTGCATCTCAGAGTTGATGTTCACTCCAGCACTCGAATCCAGTACGCGTTATCCATTTCGAGTCCTGGAATAAACATCAACTCTAGGATGCAAGTAAATCCAGCTGATGAGTCCCAAATAGGACGAAACGCGCTTTGTCCTGAATTCCACTGTTTGTCACTATCCATCTTTGTTTATATCGATAGTCACTTTTCTAAGATGTATTTTATATTATTTTCTTTGAATTCAACATTCATAAATGAATTTTTTCATAGTAATGTAGGTTATTTTACAGGTTCCTATACACTTTACAGTTTTCTCTCAATAAACCTAAGGATTTAATTATCATTGATAATTTATAAGCCACACACAATGAAAATGAATCGAACTAATAATCTCAATAATAATGATGACAGGTTAAGACATCGCAAAGATAATTCAATTCATCTTTGGAAATGCATATATTGTCTTTTCCCAAATGGCTTTCAATACATTGATCTATGCAGGAAGTTACATAGTCTTCGGTTGAATAAAATATTGGAAGTGAACTTATGAAATTACCTCTGATTCTAGTACAGATCCATTCAATCTATACTAACTTCAAATTGCTAGTTAGAAGTTAAATGTAGGAGTAGCTTTTTTAGATCATATTTTTGAGTTACTATATCAAGATGGGTTCCAGGCCTATGTAGTTGAAAGTTATCCGGTTTTTTATCATATTTAGATTAGCTTGCTTTTTTCCAGTAGTCACAGCTTTTCATAAGAGCAGCCGTTACCAATGAAACTGTATGATCATTTTACTATTGAAGTGTATGCCACTGGATGTTAGACCAGTATTTCAACGTTTGCTACGTGCTATAAGATTATAGTGTCCGACTCACGACATATCCTTGGATGTGTACTCTTCATGATTCTAGTGTTTCCTGGTTTCCAATAGTTTAGGTTGACGAAAAGCGAATGTCCGGCGCTTTAACCGGATTCCAAACCAATGGTGCACATGGGTTTCAATATCCTGAAAGAACAAATGGCGTATGAACCAATTGTTGGTCACCGGCTTCCATGGGACTGCATCTCCTTACATTGCTCCACTACCTTGTGGATCAGACCTTTAGGTCTAAGGCTTGTGCAGTGGCCCCCTAAGAAAACCATCTGCTTCGGTTTGGAACCCGGACAGTATCCCAGCCCTCACACATATCGAATGAGATTTGTGTGGCGCATATGTATTTGGTGCCTCATTGTACCAATATCTATGTGTTAAAGTAAATAATAATAAAAATAGGTGAAGTTTCGTACCCTGAACTGAATGGTTTGGTAATGGAGTTTTTATTGTTCTTCTGAAAAATACCATCAGCACAAACTTTAGGTAGAGATGAAGTGTTCAAATTTATTACAGTGTGTCCTTTTGACTTCGAGCTTGATTGGTTATTGTTGACATTTAACCTGCAATTATCTAGTTCTCTATTTTGATTGTATCTCGTTTTGATTTGGTTCTTGGTTTATTTCGTAGATGATGTTTGGTTTTATTCTTTCGTGATGTCGTCTTTTGGTTTACATGGGATTGTTCGGAGTGATTTTGCTGTTTTATATGTTACACCTATTTCAAACAGCTTCGATAATCTCGTTGTAATTTCTGATATGTGTTAGAATGATCCGTTTGTTGGTTATTTGACATGATTTTGTTTCTGGAGATAAGTTGGGTTGATTCTTTTTGATGAAGTTGATTGAGTAGCTGTTCTTTTCGAAGATAGTGTTTAAATATTTCTCTTCATTTCTTTGCGCTGCAAGTGTACTTCAGTGTATTCTCACCCTCTTGAATAAAATGTGTACGCAGTTGATTTTGTGAGTTCTTGGGTTGTTATCATTATAATTAAGCATTTGATCTATGCGGGTCGGCTTCCGATAAACTTGAGTCTCCAATTTTCTTGTGTCCGTTCTAGTGATTAGTACATCCAAAAATGATAGTTTGTTGTTTGATTCCTTTTTCATTATGAATTTTATTTCATTGAAGATGTTGTTGATCAGATTGTAGGTGTTTTGCAACTTGTACTTTTTGATGAGGACAAATGTGCCATTTACATAACGAATCCAAATTTTTGACTTGATCACTGATATGATCAAAGTTTCCAGTTCCTACATCACTGTTTCTGTAATAAGTCCTAATATTGATGATCCCATCGGTGTTTCCTTCGTTTGTTTATAGATTTTGTCATTGAATTGGAAGTATGTCGTCAAGAATAAATCGATAGATTCTAGTAAATTTTGACTTTGGAGTTTTGTATACTTTGAGAGATTTGTATCACTGGTAAACAGTAAGGATAGAATTTCATTTCCTCAATAGTATCTCAACTGAGAACAATCAATGATTAATATCATTTATAGATATTGATTTTGTTAGAAGTTCTTAGGTTCGAAAGACGTGTTTCCCTCCAATAGTTGTGGAGATTGTAGTAATTTCAATAGTTGAGATCATGAGACTGATAGGTCTTAGGTTCAAATCCTGCGAGGTGGGGTCGTGGATGAGCACTGCCAAGGAGTCCCATACTATGGCAAAACGGCCGTCCAGTGCTTCCAGGCTTTCCATAGTGGTCTAGTTTCAATTGACTCATCATCTCAACTATTGAAATATAGAAGATTACGTAATGATGAGGTGTAGACAATACTCAACAAAATTTTTCAAACATCAGTTAGTTTAATGTATGCTGTGTGCTACAAATGCTGAGCTACAAATCTTCTCCACCATCTCAATGTATGCAGTGTCTTCTAATATTTTAACTGATTCTGTTTATAGCTTTCTATGGTCTCTAAATCATTCTAATTTCTGACTACCCTAACTATAATAAATCACATTGAGTAGGCAGTTGTATTTACTGAATAGCATATTACAATATGTTTGCATAAAAATGTGACTCAGATATTGAATATGTGAGTGGTGACCTTAATTAAGTAAATATTACAGTTATTCATCAATACTAGTGTGGTGTGTGCTAATGATATCCACAGATATAAGTAGTATGTAACACCAATCAAAAGTGAAATGTCTGGTAGCACGTTAAAAAAAATCGAAGAGAAGAGAAGAGAAAGTGATTGGTATAGAAATGAAGGAACAGTGAAGTCTGAGACAAGTAAAGTTTTTAGTGTTTACTAAATGTATTGTCTCTGACACATTTGATTATTTTCTGTCCATTTAATGAGTGTCACTTATTGAAATGCAGATTCTTCCTTGATTTTCATTAGTTCATAGGCTAACATGATGAAAAATTTCTGTCAACTTCCATTCCAGATCACATTGAAATTAGATGGACGATTGATAAAGAAGTTCCATACAAAATGCAGTTATAAGCAAAGATGTATGGTGTTTAGTATTGGAATCCAGTTTGACGACCGTTTCGTCCCATTTGGGACTCGTCAACTGGATGTACCTGCATCTCAGAGTTGATGTTCACACCAGCCAGTACTCGAACTCAGTACCATAGATGTATTAACTGATTCATTAATCGATACTTAACAATAGTATTCCATTATTATTAATATTTTAAACAACTTTTTCTTGAATATTAATTATAGGTACAAGTGAAAATGATTGAAGTTATTAAATTTTGGAAACAAAAACTTGAAATTAAAGGTGTTATGATAATGAATTCAAGTAATTTACTTGAAGAAATGGTTCCAGGTATTAGAAAAATCTTAAACACAGACACTGATAGTAAGTCTTTTTTTTCTAAAATTGGAATAAGTAGGCGACTTTAGTTCATTTCCTTACTTACACCTGTCACCTGTTAGCATGTTCTTTGGTACAATTTGTACATCCTATCCACTTCCAACATCTTTTCCATATTTTCTATTCAGATGGATGCTGATTTGTTCTCTCTCACAGTAGGTTGTTGCCGATGGTATCTGGCCGACGAATATTGAGTATCTTGCATAGACAACTGTTCATTTCCTATAATGAAAATATTGACAGTAATGTCAGTGAAGTGTTGACAGAGAATTCCATCGGGTCGTAGAGAACGTATAATTTTTTTTCATATTTTACTATCTCATTATTATCGAAGTAATAGCTTTTGGATAACCAGTTGTAATACTCTTTTCTAACTAAAAGTAATAAGTATTGTCATTACTTAAGCCTGTTAGTTCCAATGGAGCATAGAACGCCGTCCAGCATTCTCCAACCCACTCTGTCCTAGGCCTTCTTTTCTAGTACTATTTAATTGTTGTCCATTCTTCTCATATCTTTCTCCATTTTTCAGTGTAGTGTGTTTTCTGATCTTCTTCTCCTTTATTTAGCCTTGAGGATTCCATATGATGGTTTGCCTTGTGACTCAGTTAAGTGCTTTCCTCAATGTGTGTTCACTTTACTTCCAGCGCTTCTTCCTGAAGTATTTTCATAAACAATATCAAATTGGATTTCATTATGAACTAATATACACATCATATCTATTTATTCTAGATTGATATTTTTTACTTGCAAGTACCTGTAGAACTATGCTACTTCTTGACAAGTAATGAATCTTTAGACGATTGACACAATACTTAAATAAAGTCATTGATAAAGACTGTCTATATTTTTTAACGGAATGTTCAAATCTTTACGTAACAACAGATAAGAATTTTAATTTTATCATTGAACTCATCTAAGAAAAAAAGAAGTTGAAACTATAATTTATGAACGACCTTTAAGTGACACTAGTGTAATGACTATGAGATTGTCCATGCAATAACTAAAACCAAATAAGGGTTATAAACCAGTGTGAGGAATTAGAATTACGATTTACAGTTGATACGTAGGGTTAGGAATTAGATTTAGAGTTTTCATTACGAAGTGACATAATCTAAAAAAAATTTGATTGAAGTCATAAACCGATTGATGTTAGACCACCATAGAAAACCTGGAAACATTAGACCGTAGTTTCGTCCTATTGTAGGACTCCTCAATAATACGCATCCACGATCTCACTCTCGGGATTGGATCACGTGTTCTCACTAGTGACTAGCCCCGTGAGAGAATTCTCGGAGTTCTAGTGAGAAGTAGTGAGCAATGGAACTAATCCGTGTCGGGTACAGACAGGAATCTACTCCATAAGTACAATGGAAGATGGTCACACAATTTCGTGTATTGGTTAAGGTTAGACATTAACATCGTTGAATGAACGAATCTTAAGTGACCTTGAGAAATATTAACCAATCAGAAGACAGTTAGTATAAAGTAAAAGTATATTATAAAAGACTAAACAGTTAAAGTGGACATTCTCTTACATGATTCATAACCTCATTAACGTTTGATAGAGGTTCAGAAGTTCTGAAATCGTAGTGCGTGTGGTAGAAGAACTCATCCGTATGGCTTCATAAGAGTCGACCTCTGGAGCCGTGATAGGGACTTAAAAACTCATTTAGCCTAGAACATATGACTTCAATATTATTCGTGTGAACGCCGGTCGTATGGTCGACAAAATGGCGCTTGTTCACAACGACATGATGCACATACCCAAGTCTATGTAGGCATCTATACGCTCTCCAATCATCTGTATATATCGTAGTGCCCGGCTACACATATTCCGGTATAATTGGTATCATTGTGGTTGCTTGTCGGTTTCTAACCCTTTTAAAATGTCCCTTTCGCGTTGATCTGACATAAATTCCCAGTACCAGTAAGGTATATTTACGGAAGTGCTACTTACCCAGTCTTACTTAATATTACGTCCTCTGTTATATTTGCGCATCCGTACTACTGTTTAATTTATTTCAACAATACTCTTAACTCCTCCGAACGACTAGTGTAAACGTGTCATTTTAATTGCGCATATATCCCTGCAATACTCATACCATTGAACTGCTGAATTCTCAGTAACGTCTGCAAATGCTGCTGCCAGTGTTACTGGTGCTTTTATTATCCAATTTGCGACAGCTATCATGCTTTGTCTCAGTCTCAGTCGCGATCGAGCGAAGAAAGTACCCGTTCGAGCAGACGTCTTTCTCTAACATAAATAACATCGAAAGACAATCTCATCACGGTAGTCTGAACACGGTACACCAGTCATTTGATTACCGCATCATTCCATAACATAGAAAATAAGAACTATACAAATTCAAGCCATAAGTGGCTGTGATTGTGAGAGACTGTGGCTAATAAATTGCGAACATCTTAAGAATAGTAAATCGTATAATAGTAGTTAGTACGTCAAGTGGAACACTTCCCCCCTTAATTTATTTCTTCTGACATTATATGTGTTGAATGTAATGTAACTAACCAATCTTAAACGGGATTCTTCATTCAATAATCTGGCAAATGAAGATGAATAAGGCGAACGAAATATTTCTAATCAAATAGTTTTTGATCATAACTTTACACTAATAACATATATTTTCACAGTTGAAACGACCAGTCAATCGAAGTTCGACCATCAATCTAGTATGAAACTTCTCTGTAGTGCAAATCTACGATCTCTCACTTGTAGCTGAAACTCAAGACCTCTGGTCTCGTACTTGAAGATTTAAACTCCAGACCACTGATCCATCATTAAACATTGTTGATATCTAACTTCAATCATCTTACAAAATGCTTCATCTATCAACTTTAATTAAGTTTTTCATATCTCACTTCTTTCAGATGAATTCATATGGTTCGCTGATGAACCAAAAATTGATGCCATGGTAAATATGGAACAGAAAGTTTGTCTACATACACTTACACTAAATATTCGTGTACCAACAAGAAGTGATGACATAGATTCACAAATTCGACAAGGTAATTTAGTTTTTATATTAAGAATAATTTTATTTCATTTGGTATTGTTTACTTGAATCTTCTCGTTCACATTTAGGACTGCAATTGATCAGTCTGTTATTGGCATATGTAAATACTGTGCGTATTGCCTCGATATTGTCTTAAATCACAAGAATTATAAGTAAAGATGAATGTACCTACATCTCAAAGTTGATGTTCACTCCACGACTCGAACCCTGTACCGTTGGCTTTAAACGCCATCATGTTATTCATCACTTAGCTACTGAGTCCTGATAAACAAGTGAATTTAAACTTCACCTTATTACACAATCAACTGGCTATCATGACTCAGTAGCTAAGTGGATAACACGATGGTGTTTGAAGCTAAGTTTGAGTCCTAGAATGAACATCAACTATAAGATGCAGGTACATTCAGCTGAATATTACCAAATAGGACGAAACGAGCCTTGTCCTGAGTTTCACTACTAGCCATTATCCATCTTTATCTATAAAATATTCAAAAGAACCAGTTTAAGTACTCTTGAGGATCACGTCATGTATATCTAAAACAAATATATTGTATTTTAAAAAAAACTCACCTATATTGTTAACCAAGAGTCAAAATAAAATAAGAAGAAACTCTATCTTGAGGAATTTAGCTGATGCTAGTAAGTTCAACGATGAAAGTTATTCATGAAATGCCAATGAACTTTTTCTAAGCTCCTAGAATTCAGGTCTTACATACATTAGTAGCTACAAGAATACAGATTAATAAACCTAAAACACATGCACAGAAGTTTTTTATATCCTCTTAATTTATCATTACCTTCTTCATCTTAGTTACTACTTTTTTCAAGATTTTTTGATTTTATTCAATTTTAATTCATAACTTCATTTAACGGGATCTATCTATCTTAATAATATGATTGCCTGATTGAATTTGACGCATTGTATAATTGAACGAATCCTGACTAGTTTTTTAATAGTTGATATGAGTCAATTAAAGAAAGACCACTATGAAAAACTTGGAAGCACTGGACAACCGTTCCGTTCTATTATGGAATCCCTCAAAAGTGTGCATCCACGACCTTGCCACACGGGATTCAAACCCAGGACTTATCGGTTTCACACACGAACGCTTAACCTCTAGACCACTGAGTTCGATGGCATTCAACGGTGTTAATGTCTAACTTTTTATTAGTTAACTAACGCTCTTACCTGAAGCCAATCAGTTAGTCACATAAAACGCAGAACCTGGTATTTATGAGCATTAAGTCAACTTACCATACAACATTGAAACTGTGAAATGAAATTATTAGAACAAATATCCGAGTCTCGAAAATAGTGACAATATTAATGTTAGAAGAAAACATTAAATAGAGACAATGTTTCAAGAAGGAAGAATAAAAATTATTAGTTAGTTTTTAAACGGAAGGATTAAATGAATCTGCATCAATTCTGATCCATGTCACCCAGTATCGTCAACCATTGGTTTCAATAATTTCAGCTTTGTAGCTTGTATATACTAATATGGTTCAGTTCAACAGTCATTAACTTCATATACTGACCCTTTATATTCATTTGGTGAATCTTAGCTTTTTGTAAGCAATGATGGGTATTGGCTAGCAGTAGAATCCAGGACGCGCGTTTCGTTCTATTTGGGACTCGTTAGCTGGATGTACCTGCATCTCAGAGTTGATATTCACTTCGGGACTCGAACCCAGTGCCGTTTGCTACAAACGCCATCGCGTTATCCACTTAGCTACTGATTCCTGAAAGTCATTTACTTGTGCAATGGGTGAATTTATATATCTTCTCATCCAACTGACGAGTCCCAAAAAGGACGAAACGCGTGTCCTAGATTCCAATGCTAGCCATTATTCATCATTGCTTACAAAAAGCTTGTGAATTAAGACAATATCGAGGCATATGTACAGTATGCACATATGCCAATAACATACTGATCAATTGCAGTCTTAATGGGAAGATACAAGCCAAACAATACCAAGTGAATCTTAGCTTTATTCCAACGTATTCCTATACCAATAAACATTGACTAACAAAATAGACAATGGTAAGTAATACTGAACATATACCTTAATCAACTAAGTCAATAAAAATTCAAATTTTCATCGACCAGTTGATCTTCTTCATTACATATTACATAATTTGTCTTTCCACTTTTTCTTTTTTTATTATGAAGCTATGAATAATACACAATTAAGAAAATGTAGTCCAATTTGGTTAGTTCATCAATTAAGTGAAGATAATAAAGATTTTGAAACCATTCAAAAATTAGCATATTTTCTACCAGGTAGTTATTTAATGTTAGCTGGACAAGAGGTTGATTTGGTAAGTCAACTGTTTTTTTTGTTGTTGAAATTAATAGGGAATAGAATTGTAACCTATTTTTCATAGTTGAGATTATGATTCAATTGAAGTTAAACCACCATGGAAAAACTGGAAGCACTGAAGGACTGTTTTATTCTACTGTGGGACTCCTCAGCAGTGCTCATCCACTATCCCACCCCCTGCAAGATTCGAACCCTAGGACCTGTCAGTCTCGCATGCGAGCGCTTAACTACTAGACCACTGAGACGGATGGCATGAATTTGAGAGACACATTCACCATTGTCTTCAGTGAGTTACTATCTCACAATTGACCTGGTTGAACTCCATTGGTCAGTGCTTCTGAGTAGAACTCCAGGAAATACCTCTTGGAGACCGTCACTAGTGAGTATATGTTGCGTAATATCATGTATTTCATTTTCTAATGGAATTGATAGAATATTCAGTAATGGTTAATGTCATGTTAGTTTAGTCCTATATATTGATATAAGTTAATTGAGTCAATTTACCAAGTGATCGCTAACTGAAGTGACTTAACTTCGTGTGGATAACGTTTTGTGATTTTATGGTTTGAGAGTATTTGTCAGGAAAAATTTCGTGCTAGTTGCATTCTATTGACAAGGCATATTACAACCTTGGAGGAACCGATAATTCCTATCGCATTCAAACTGTGGATCAAGAAGCTTTATATACTAAGGCATAACTGGTGAACTTGCGGGCTGGGAGTAATTTTCTTCGAAAATGAGATATTTATAATGATTAGTAGAATTTGATCAGTACTATAGGGTTAGATAATTATGAAATTATTCACTACCTATTCCTGAAGGCTTCTAGTTGCATTATAAATAGTTCAAATTTGATAAGTCTAAACACATGAGTAGTTTAAAGTCCTCCAGAAAATATCAGTTCCCTTAGTAACTGTAGTGATGTTCTTGTTGACGAATCTCAACTAACAATAAATATAGGGAGTAAGTTTTATACCCACTGTCATCAACCACCTATTCTCATACGAAACTGTTTTCCATGAATGTATTCTCTTGATGCGCTATAAATTACAACTTAGTGTATTGGAATAAAAGACTAAGATATACTGTAGTGAACGAGAACAGAACTAGGGACAATCGAATGTATTTGAGCGAAAAATTACACATTCTCTTAGGAAAATCTGAGAACTGTACAGTAAATACTTCATTTGCAAAATATCAGTCAATCGTCTCAGACTGCATTTCCACACAAATCATACTGTGGACAACCAGAGCCTTTGACCTGGTGGTCTAATCTACAAACCAATGAAATAGTGTCACGAGATGCAATCACCAAAAATAGATTCATACGTCATTTTTTTACTTCAGGATTCTAAAGCCTGTGCACACTAATTGATTTGCAATTAGTGTTATTCAACTCTCCTAGATCAACTCTCGATATCCATCACCTTTCATTAATATTTAATCTCAATAGTTAAGAACTCCACCAGGAGTCCCTCCGGGGGCTACTGTCGGTCCCAAGCCCGGATAAAGGAGGAGGGTTGGGCATGGGGTTAGCGTCGCCATCCCGTAGAAAACTAGCTCGCTAATAAAACGCTAACCAGAAAGAATTATTCAAACCTTTTAAAATCTACCCCGGGAGTCAGAAGGTCTTCATTTAAAAGAACTATGAAGCCTCATGATGAAAGCCGAATTCCTTCGGAAGTTACCAGGTCGATGCCCTGTCTGACAGCCAGAGCAACCATTTATTTAAGTACATGGAATGTTCGTACAATGTGGGACACCGGGAGAGCCCTCCAATTTGCTGCAGAAATGAGGAGGTACAACCTAGAGGTGCTTGGGATCAGTGAAACACATTGGACGCAAGTTGGACAACAACGACTAACTTCAGGAGAGCTTCTGTTATACTCCGGCCATGAAGAAGAAAATGCCCCACAAACACAAAAAGTTGCACTGATGCTGTTCAAACAAGCACAAAATGCTCTTACAGGATGGGAATCTCATGGACCAAGGATCATCAAAGCCTCATTCAAAACAAAGAAAGAGGGCATTGTAATGAACACCATCCAATGCTATGCGCCTACCAACGATTACAATGAAGACGATAAACATCGATTCTACGATAGGCTGCAGTCCATTGTCTAGGAGTGCCGAACAAAGGACTTGACCATTCTGATGGGAGACCTAAATGCCAAGGTTGGAATGAACAATATCGGATATGAAGACATCATGGGACGACAAGGACTGGGATAAAGGAACGAAAATGGTTAGAGATTCGCAAACCAATGTGCCTTCAATAAACTGGTCATAGGCTGCACCATATTCCCACATAAACGCATTCGCAAAACCACATGGACTTCACCGGATCACACTACACAAAACCAAATCGACTATATCTGCATCAACAAGAATTTCAGCAGGACGATGGAGGACGTTAGAACCAAGAGAGGAGCTGATATAGCCTCAGATCATCACTTGCTGGTCGCCAAGATGAAATTGAAACTCATGAAGTACTGGACAACGGGGAGGGCAATATCACAGAAGTTCAATACGGGGTTTCTTCGGGATACTGACAAACTCAACAAATTCAAGGTAGCCCTCAGCAATAAGTTCTAGGCCTTTCATGATCTACTCAATATAGAAGGAACTACTATGGGGAGCAACTGGAAGGGAATCAAAGGGGCAATCACTTCAACAGGTCATGAGGTTCTGGGCCACAAGAAGCACCATCACAAGGAATGGATCACTGTTGATACACTGGATAAGATTCATGAAAGGAGGAACAAGAAAGCTGCAATCAATACCATCCGAACAAGAGCAGAAAAAGCCAAGTCACAAGCTGAATACACAGAAGTAAACAAACAAGTGAAGAGGAGCATCAGAACCGACAAACGTAAATATGTGGAAGATTTAACGTCGACGGCGGAAAAGGCTGCAAGAGAAGGAAACATGAGACAACTGTATGACATAACAAAGAAACTCTCTGGAAATCGCCGCAAACCAGAACGACCAGTGAAAAGCAAGGCGAGGTAATCACTAACATTGAAGAGCAACAAAACAGATGAGTAGAACACTTCAAAGAACTCTTGAATCGACCAGCTCCACTGAACCCATCCAACATCGAAGCAGCACCCACGGACCTCCCAATCAATGTTGGCCCACCAACAATTGAGGAGATGAGCATGGCCATCAGACAAATCAAGTGTGGCAAAGTGGCAGGACCAGACAACATTCCAGCAGAGGCACTAAAAGCAGACATAGCGGCAACTGCAAGGATACTCCACATTCTTTTCAATAAGATTTGGGATGAAAAACAAGTACCAACAGACTGGTAAGAAGGACTTCTGATCAAAATACCGAAGAAAGGCGATCTCAGCAACTGTGATAACTACAAGGGCATCACTCTTCTTTCAATACCGGGAAAAGTCTTCAACAGGGTATTGTTAAGCATAATGAAGGACTGCGTAGACGCCCAACTCCGTAACCAACAGGCAGGATTCCGTAAGGATAGATCGTGTACAGAGCAAATTGAAACTCTACGGATCATTGTGGAACAATCAATTGAGTGGAATTCATCACTCTACATCAACTTCATTGACTATGAAAAAGCATTTGACAGTGTGGACAGAACAACACTATGGAAGCTTCTTCGACACTACGGTGTGCCTCAGAAGATAGTCAATATCATACAAAATTCAAATCGTGCATGGAGGACAGTTTACAGACTTGTTCGAAGTGAAGACCGGTGTCAGGCAAGGTTGCTTACTCTCATTCCTTCTCTTTCTCCCGATGATCGAATGGATCATGTAGATGTCAACATTTGAGAGGAAGCATGGGATACAGTGGACAGCTAAAATGCAGCTGAACAATTTAGACTTCGCAGATGATCTGGCTCTTCTATCGCATACAAAACAACAAATTCATGAGAAGGCGACCAGTGTAACAGAATCCTCAGCAGCAATAGGTCTCAACATACATAAATGGAAAAGCGAGATTCTCCGATACAACACAACATTCAACAATCGAATTACACCTGACGGAGAAGATTTGGAAGATGTAAAATCCTTTACATATCTAGGCAGCATATTTGAATGACTCAGATGTGAAGGCACAGTACGGCAAAACAAGAACAGCACATCTGTAATTGAAGAAAACCTGGAACTCAAAACAACTTTCAACCAACACCAACGTTAGAATTTTCAATACAATTGTCAAGATAGTTCTACTGTATGGGGCAGAAACCAGGAGAACTACGAAAGCCATCATCCTGAAGATACAGGTGTTTATTAACTGTTGTCTACGCAAAATACATCAGATCTGTTGACCGGACACTATTAGCAACAACGTACTATGAGAGAGAACAAACCAGATCCCAGCAGGAGAATAAATCAGGAAGATGCCCTGGAAGTGGATAGGACACACATTGAGGAAAGCACAAGACAAGCCCTCACATGCAATCCTTAAGACCAAAGGAAAAGAGGAAGACCAAAGAACACATTACGCCGGGAAATGAAAATGGACATGAGAAAAATGAACAAGAATTGGATGGACCTAGAAAAGAAGGCTCAGGACAGATTGGGTTGGAAGATGCTGGTCGGCGGCCCATGCTCCATTGGGAGTAACAGGCGTAAGTAAGTAAGTCAATAGTTAAGATCATGAGTCAGTTGAAGCTAGACCACCATGATGGCGCATATATATTTGGCGCACTCCTGTACCAATATATATGTGTTCAAATAAATAAAAATAAATAGACCACCATGGTAAACCTGAAAGCACTGGACGGCCGTTTCGTCCTATTGTGGGACTCCTTAGCAGTGGTCATCTACGACCTCGCCCTCTGCGAGATTTAAACCCAGGACCTACTGGTTTCGCACGTGAGCACTAGACCACTGATCCAGCATCCAACGGTGTTAATGTCTAACTTCAACTAATCCACGAAATTGAGCGACACATTCACCATTTTCATCAGTGAGTTACTATCTCACAACAGACCTGGTTGAACTCCACTGGTCACTGCTTCTCACTGGAACTCCAGGATATTTCTCTTGAAGCCAGTCACTAGTGAGCATATGTTGATTAATATCAGATGGGTTTTGTGGATATTAATATTTAATTGTATTATAAATCTACTAGATATTCTCTTGATATTGTTTTGCTTGTATCTTTCCATTGAGGTTAAGAACTGATTAATCTATCAAGTGAATTTAAAATTCATATCATTGCACAAGTAAGTGGCAATCAGGACTTAGTAACTAAGTGAATGGCACAACAGCATTTGAAACGAATGTTACTAGATTCAAGTCTCAGAATGAATATTAACTTGAAGCTGTCACAGATACATCTAGTTGAAAAGTTGTAAAATTGGATGAAAACGTGCTTTATCCCCTGAATTTCACTATTAAACACATTATCCATCTTTGTTTATACTAAATAGTTTGTTTTTGATTGAGATCATGAACCGATAGATGTTAGACCACCATTGAAAATCTGGAAGCACCGGACAGCTGAACGGTGAGCGGGATCGTGGATGTGCACTGTTGAGGAGTCTCACAATAGGACGAAACGGCCATCCAATACTTCGAAGTTTTCAATAGTGGTCTAACATCAATTAATTCATGATCTCAATCAAAAACTTGATAATCTCCACAACCACTATGCTGATATTTTGTTTCTTTTTTTCTTCTTTTCTTTTCTTTTTTTTCTCTCTCATTGATTTACTTCATTTTATTCTCTTTCTATATAGACTAATGGTAATCAACAACTTATCAAATGGTCATATGATAATTATTTAGATTATAACACTTATTGGCCAATTAATATAAATTTAATTAATAATGGTAAACAACGTTTATATCAATGGAAATTATTTATAGAAAAATCATATAGTATTACAATATTAAATACCCCTAGTGATAAAAATCAATTAATGAGTTATATCCCTAAAACAACTTATAATTTATTGATTATTTATCGTCATTATATTAATACAATATATCGTATTTATTTTATAGTTAGTTTTCAAACTTTAAATACTATCATACCATTTCAATCAATATTTTATGATATAAGTAGTTTATCTCATTTAAAAGTAGTATATGATTCAAAAAATTTATATTATGATAAAAAACAATTGAATAATGAATTATTAGTTAATAATCAAGTTTTATTACTTTATCATTATTAATAACAATACTATTACTATTATTATTACTAATACTACTGCTAATACTATTACTACTACTACTACTACTACGACTACTACTACTACTACTAACAATAATAATCATAATCATAATACTACGACTACTACCACTACTACTAGAATTACTATTGCTAATACTACTATTACAATTACTATTACTACTACTGCTACTATCACCACTACTACTGTTAATAATAATAATAATAATAATAATAATAATAATAATAATAATATCAGTACTATTATTATTACCAATACTACTGTTACTATTATTACTACTACTAATAATATTAGTGCTATTTTTATTATTACTATTACCATTACTACTACTACTACCACTGTTAATAATAATAATAGTAGTACTATTATTTTTACCAATACTACTGTTACTACTATTACTACTACTACTACTACTACTGATAATAATAATAATAATAATAGTCGTAGTAATTATTCGATTCACGATCGTTTATGAACTAATAATACATGATTATACAATGAATCTTTTTTTTAAAAATTTACCTATTAAGAAAGTGGATTTTATGAAGATTGTAATGATTTCTTTAATAATTGAATTGATAAGTTAATTAAAGATATAGCATTATTGAAAAACTTAGAAGCATTGGATAGTCATCTCATTCTTAGTACACATTCATAATCTCATTTGTCGGGTTCAACTTTGAAAGCTTTCAATTGGTTGAATTTTAGGGTATTAACATTGTTAGCTACTAGCTCAGTCGATTAGAGGTTAAATATTCATAGACGAGACCGAAAGTGTTAGGTTGTTATCTTGAGAGTAGGATTATAAATGTTCACTACTGAAGAAGTCTCATATTAGGACGAAATGGTTGTCCAATGCTTTCAGGTGTTTTTAAAATGATGATCTAGTTTTAATTGACTCATGAATTCAACTATTAATCTTCTTTTCAATACTTTGTAATCTCTTCCTTTTTTTAAATTTCTTAGTTTATGAATCTAATTTCATTGAAATTGTACAAATATGATTCTTTATGTAAATAGATTATTTATAAAATAAAATAAAAGAAACGATCATATTCATGAGTTTTTATTTATCATTATTTATTTGAACACATAGATATTGGTACAAGGAGGCGCCGAATACATATGCGCCACACAAATCTCATTTGATATGTGTGAAGGCTGTGATACTGTCCGGGTGCCCGAACCGAAGTAGGTGGTTCTCTTAGGGGGCCATTGCCCGAACTTTAGACCTGGATGTCTGATCCATAAAGCAGTGGAGCAACGTAAGGAGATGCAGTTCCATGGTAGCCGGTGAACAACAATTGGTTCATACACCATTTGTTCCTTTAGGATACTGGAGCCAGCCCATGTGCACCATTGGTTTGGAATCCGGTTAAACCGCCGGACATTCGCTTTTCGTCTTCTCATTTTCGTAAACAACACCCCCGCCACGAGAAGACAATGAGTAGAACTTCCATGGCAGAGGCTATATACGCGTGGCCATGTGAGAGCATTTGGAGAGGGAGAGCGGACTTTTCCCACTCTCGGCCGTACCAGGGCATTTGGAGGCATATGAATGAGTGATTATTCGTGAATACTATCTTTGTTAAGTCTTCTAATTGAATGTTTGATTCGGTTTCCAAAGATCTTCTAGTAACCCTAAGATTACATCTAAACAGCGTAGGCCGGCCACCAGCATTCTCCATCCAACCCTGTCATAAGCAATCATTTATACTTGTTTCCAATTGCTACTCATTCTATTCATGTCTGCTTTTAATTCTCGGTGCAGTATATTCTTTGGTCTTCCTTATTTCCGTTTCCACTCAAGATTCTTTGTAAGCGCTTGTCTCATGATGCAGTTTGATGATTTCTTCAATCTGTGTCCTATCCACTTCCAACGTCTTTTCCTTTTCAACTGGAAGTTGGTTTTTCTCTCCCATAGTAGGTAGTTGTTCATGGTACCCAGTCCTCGGACATTGAGTATTTTGCCTATACAACTATACATAAATGCCTGTACCCTTTTGATGATGGTTATGGTAGTTCTCCAAGTTTCAGCTTCGTACTATAGAACTAAATGTCTTGATGTTCATATTGAAGATTATGATTTTGATATTAGTTGACGGTTGTTTTGAGTTGCATATATTCTTTAACTGTAGGAATGCTATTATTGCTTTGCCAGTCCTCACCTTTACGACTACATCGGATCCTCAACGTTCATCGGTGATACTGTTCAGGTATGTGAAAGATTCCACTTCTTCCAGAGTTTCTTCATCGAGTGTGATTGGGTTGGTGTTCTCTGTGTTGTATTTGAGGATCTTGTTTTTTCTCTTGTGTATGTTGAGGTCTACTGATGTATAGGCCGCTGCTATACTGGTTGCCTTGACCTGCGTTTTTTGGTGTGTATTGGATAGAAGGGTCAGGTTATCTGTGAATTCCGAATTGTTTATTTGCATCCAAACTGTCTATTGTATTCCGTAATGGATACTAGTGATGAATTAAATGAATACTCAAGAAGGGATACGAACATATATGTAGTTTTGGAGTTATTAGTGATCTGTTTGAAGTTTAGTTCTCGAGTTTTGAATGATCATCGATACCAGTGAAGTTAAATCACGTTAGAAATGAGATATTCTATCTTTAATATTAACGAATGATCAGCAGGCTAGATTGCAAAGTAATTGATTTTAGAAGTGTGGCAATTCTAGTCTAACTCAAGATCGTAACTTTATTGACAGTCATTCGTCATCCATCTATGTTATTGGACAGCAATGTATATATCTTCAATAGCTTTTTCATGGAAATGTATTTTGTTCTCATCACTTTTAAGAAACATTGTAGTAACTTCACATGAAACAACATTCTTTATTTAAAATTACCTCACCTCGATTTATATGCCTGTCAACAGAAACAATCTGTGATGATTAGGAGTATTTTAATTATGATACAAACTAGGAATCCTAGAAGTAACTCAATATAGCTAACAAGAACTGTATGAGCACGACTGAACATATTGTGTTAGGAATTCGAAATCAGTCAGTTATCAAGTTTGTACAAATACCACATCTGACACAGCTTAAATTGGAGTCTAAGCTTTTGTAATTGATTGTACGTCTTCATCATGTGTCTGTCCAGCAGTGTCAGTCAGTGGGAGAATAGGCAGAGACGACGAAGAGGCAACGACGAGTGTCCCTATCTTTTCTAGCTCTTACTGTTCCGTTTAGTCGGACAATGCACAAGTGACTGTCTACGGGAATCTAGTCTAAGAGAGATAGGACTCAATAAGAGATATATGTATACAACAGTGTATTCATTAGCGGTAATCAGTGTATCATGCTGTGGGGGACGGGTAGTATTCAAAACGAGAGCGGAAAATCCAAGGTCACGCGTTTTTAAACAACTATTTTACAATCAGTCATGTCATATGTACATATTATAAGAATGAATGGAAGAAATGCAGATAGTAGCAAAAACAATACGATGGTGGTTAGTGGTCGTCAACACGAAACTCTGAACCTAGATTTTATTCTACTTGGCACAGGTGTACCTGTAATCTTGAAGGAACTGAAGCTCCCTGAAGGATTTTATCCGTCCAATGGTAACGTCTCTGACTGTGAAGTTGGGTGACATCGGTTCGAATCCGTCGGGGAGCATATGTTCCCCCAAGATTACAAGTTTACCTTGCTGACGAGTGTCAAATAGCACTAAACCTAGGTCCATGGTTTCTTGTTGACTATCTCCAACCATCATCTTATCCTAACATAGTGCACGCAATGTTGAGTCAACCTGGACTAGTGGCCACATTGCAACTTGGTCGATAGCATTCGATCTGCCCTAATAAGGACCTGATATATATGACATTGATCACCACCTAGTAATCAATCGATTGTAAATATCTACACAATCCACTGTTTAATTGTCCACAAAAACAACATTTACAAACATTTCATAGCATAACAAAATAAATTACGACTTATGAAAGTGACAGCGATTTGTCTCAAAACTTCGAAGAGTTCTATTGATGACAAAAATAATTTTACAGGGATAGTAAAGTTGACTGTATTATTTTGGCTAATGAAATGTTTCATGATTATTATAATTATTAGCTCTAGTCACTATCATATCCTCAGGACAAGGTATTTCAATAAGTTTCCGTTTCTTACTTCTTGACCGATCCTAATGATTAGTATTGAGTGGTCGCCAGCTAGAATTTAGCAGTTCAGGAATCGACATATGAATAATGTACATTCCTTTCACCCCATATTATCAGCAACCACGATATATCTGATTAGGCCTTTTGTAATTTGTACAACGAAAAGTTGGATACTTTTCATAAACGCACCTGAATCGATTGTGCGAGTAATAACCATAATGATGTGTTAATACAAGCAAAAACAGATAAACTGTTGAAATATCTAGATGAAAAGAACAGGTCGCTTAGATGTTCAAGCATGCCGTCTCAGGATTTATTGTTCTTTCATTTCCATACCAATTGCTCTCTGTTCTCATTCTCTTCTATTTATTCTTCCCAACCTTCTACTACAAGGTTTTCCATTTCTGATTGATGTTACATACTACTTATATCTGCCCGTATCAGTAGCACACATAACAATTCCATCATTTTGGGAATAGTGACGTATCACATCATTAGGAGAATAGAGTTCTCGGTATGACTTCAATATTATGATCATTGATAGACCATTGTAATTATATTACTTTCAGTGGTTGTTTATTTAGGAATAAGATTGATGGTAAAGGTATCATTTCTTTAACCGGTTTAATATCCGGACTACTGGTACCAGTATGTATATTAGAAGAAGTTCTATTGTTTTTATGAACATTTAAACGAACTAGAAGTTAAATATTCTTTTTCTCTAATTCTGTTTACATAATCTTTTTAGACTCCTCAATAAATTTTACACGGATCGTTATTTCTATTACCATTTCAATAAACTAATTACGATGTACGATGCTAAGTTTATTCATAGTACCATTGTTAAGTCAATCGAAGCATTTAAATCACCCCTATGGAGATACGCGTAAAATTGAAGGTTAAAAAGCAATGATTTGTCTAAGATAGCGATTCTTTATTGAATAATATACAAACATTGGTTACATAACTCAGTATATGAGGCTTCTGTGGTGTTCATCGGTTTTTTTTCTGAAATAAAAAGGCCCCGTTAGTGCAACATGACAACTACTGGCTGTGTCTAAACTTAATAACAGATTAATAACTGTTTCGCTTAAATAAGGATCAAACTATTGTACAAAATTGCGAATAACTACTACTATGACTGAGATAAAATAATTTTAATCGTAAATACAATAAATGTTACATTAATCACAACATACGCGTAAAAATTGTTAGTAATAAATCTATCTACTGAATATTATCAAGTAGTATAAAACAATACTGAAAAGAGTTGGGGGGGACAGAATAAGTACAGAAAGTGTGAAACAGTCTTAACACTGCCCTTCAAAGAGAGTATGTCTTTCCTTATTCTTACTGATTGGATATTTATTGTGAAGACTTTCAGGGGTGACAGTGGTACAATCTTATCCTGAAAAAATCACTCTAGGAAGTCTTTCTAGCATTCAATAGTCTATTCTTACTAATAAACAAATCTTACATACGTTTCTGGTGCATTCTTTTCACGTTTACCATTCTTATGCATCGGAGATGGATTAAAATCATGATGTGACTGAATATAATCTGAAATGGAATTGAATATCGTTCGTAATTGACCAAGAAGTTGGAATGACTCAGCATCTAATCAGAATGCTTGATGAGTATCAATAACGTTACCTATATGTTGAATGGAATAAACCCGACTAACAAGATTTTCTCAGACCCATCCCAAAACTTCACAACTAATATAATATTTTAGCTATTTAATGAAATATCTTCCTTCTGAACCGAATAAATGTAATGCCAATGATAAATCAATTAGTAGATCATCACCTAAATATGTCGTACATAATCGTTGTTTAAACAAATTAATTAGTGTAAATTCCATACGTTTAGTACATCGAAGTAAACTCAACGAAAAGAAATATGTAGAACGACAA